CTGCTAAGAGTATGGGTAGAAATCCGCCTTTCTGACCGACTAAAAGCTTCTTTTTTTTAAAAAGGCTAGTTTTGTTATGAGTCAACTGTCTGAGCAATTCTTTGCTTTTAGACAACTTTCGAAATTGTCGCGGCGATAGACGTATATTTCCTTTGATCACGTTTAAAGCTATTTCGCATAAAGCCTTCAGAACGTCATCGGAGCACCCTTTTAAAAACTCCTGACGTTTGCGAGGTTTCATACGTGACAAAGCACGTAGAATCTTGGCGTTGCGTTTTATACGGGCTGACATGGCTCTGTTTTAGACAAATACACCGCGGTGAGTTGATCCGGAAGTAAACCCGTACGGAGACGGAAAGAGTCTGGCGTTTCCGCTTTTAAATCCACAATTAAATAACCGTACGGTTCTGACGTAGCGTCTTGAAAACTCTCCATGAAATATCTTTTTTGGTTAGGATATATTTGATTTGCTAAAACATTAATTTGCAATTTGTCTCGAGGGTTTTTAAACAAAATCAAATAATTGGTGTTTAAGCTGATGGAACGACTATGTTTTCCTTGATGAAAAACATTTTGAGTGATTAAAATGACGCTCATATTTCTGTGATGTCTCAGCTGGGTAAATAATTTTAGCACTCCAGGATGGCTGGACGTTTGAGACATCATGTCATCCAAGATCACCAAGTGGTTTTGACCCGATGGAAATAAATCATCATCCTCGAATGAAAGCGGGAGACCTTGAACGAATCGAATACTTTTATTACAAAGATCATCATACATAGGTTGATAAGATGTAAAAAACCACACAATGTTTTTTGGCATTTCAGTTAAACATTGCATACAATTTTCCAAAATACTTTTTACAAAAAAGGTTTTTCCACAGCCTGACGGACCAGCAATTTGTACACTGAATGGAGACTTTAGTCTAGCGTCAAAATCAGTTTCCATTTTTAATACCCAAATGGTTCTGTACAGCCGTCAGCAAATAACCTCCGCTTATCAAAAATCACACGAAACCTTTTCACAAATGAAACATTCGCGATAGTGAGACCTTTTTTATCCCTCTTGATGACATCCTGTTGAGTTTGCAAAAATCTTCCCCTTTCTCCAGCCACGTACCCCTCAACCAGCAGCGCTAAGCTGTCAAAATTGATGTGATCAGATGAAATGAATGACTGTGTGATACCCTTAGCCTTTATCACCACCTGCTGGCGGTCCCGGGTTTTGTAAGCATACGTTTTTGGACCGGCTGATGAAAATTCCGTGATGGAATCACCTCCAAGTTCGTCAGTTAGATCCCCCAGCAGCGGTCCTGTTGGTAAAACACACTCATTCTCTTTGACAGAATAAATTATAGAATCTGTATCGTAATAAATGACGCGATTTCCCAGTTTGTTCAACGCATTTAATAATTTCAATCTGGCATAAGTTGTGGTGAATGCAGCTATAAAAATGTTGTTGCTTCTGCCAGGAGTCGTTAGGCATTTTTCTGCCAAACTGTGTTGCACCAGAACAGCTCCTGAAGTGAGAAAACTGAAGAATTTAACATTGTATCTCCCTGAAAACAGAATGTCAAAAAATTCATCAGGTTTTTGAACAAATGTGGTTTGTACAAGATCATCTCTTTGGCCAAACTTTCCCCAGAGTGAATTGAGACATAATTTTGAAATGGCACGCTTAGCAGGATTGTGCTGAATCTTGGACGCATCTAATAGTATTCCCTGACGAAGTTGGTAGTCCTGAATGTATTTTCTTTTCGACTCATCATCAATCAATCCTTCAGGAAAACCAGACGCTTGTTGTTTCTGCTTCAAAAACGTGTTAATGTAACCCGCGAACACATCTTTACTGCTTTTCTCAAAATCCCAGACTTCAATCATTTTCACCAGACTGTAACCTGAATCCAAAGCGTAATTGAGCTCTACACTCACCCAAACGCCCGTCAAAGCACGTTGAGACGCGCTGTGTGAACAAGAATCAGATTGATTATTCATTTCAGCGCATGTGCGACACAGTGTAAAAACGAGTTTACCTTTGGATGTTTTAAAAGGCAGAACAGGGAAAAACAGTTTTCTGGGTGGCAAAACGACAGCTTTAATCAAGCCAAAATAGTGACTCGGATCTCTGAAATTTTTAACATGAATTTTGGGATGGCCTATGGGGTAAGCCTGTGTGGCATTTACATAAGGGTACAGGCTCGTAAAATCCACATAGTGGATTTTTTCACCGCTCTGAGCAGAATGCCTCAGCCGAACCGGACAAGTTCTGCCACCATACAGGGCTTCACGAGGTAAAAGAGGAGCGGGCGGGGGGTCAAATCTTGAGACAAACTGTTTCACGTCCGGATCAGTTTTTACCATCTCCTGCCAATCATGTTCCCAAATGACATTCATTTTTAATCGATGCACAGTTTCCAACGACTGAAGCTTTTCGACGGTTTTGTCATAAATTTCACCAAAAGTGATTTTTCTCAGAGGACATATGGATGACTGTAAGAAACATTTTGGACAGCCGTGGAAAAAACAACCCATATACTCAAACCCTTGTTCGACGCCTGAAATCACAGCATATCCGTCGAGATAAAAATCTCCCACTTTATACTCCCCCAAAGGCGTTAAAGCGTGTTGAATGTCTACATTTTGACTGTGTGAAACCCATTCCAACCACACGATGCTTGAACTTGAAAATGGTTTTTGTTGCGGTCGATAACCGAGCGGACAAGGAATGGCCAATGTGTCTGGTTTTAGGAATTTTGATCTAAACACGCGCATGCAAGCTGAAGCGATCGTGACAGATTTCAGCGGGTCGATACCTGTTTCATTAAAAAACTCCTCTCTGAAAATACCGCATGCTTTACGCAGAATTTCCACATCGTTTCTACAATAAAACACGGCCTCCTTTCTGAAATCAAACAACTGCTGTTTAGACACATCGGTGTACCATTCTAAAAATATTTTTTTATGCTCCGGAGACATTTGTTCAAACCCATAATGGCTGACATCTGGGTAAGGTCCTTTATAATTCAGATGTTCAAGCGATGAAAATCTGTGAGGAAAATAACCTTTAGTTTTATCTGTAAAGCCCAAAGCAGCTGGAAGGTTGGCTAATTTCATCATGAGAAAACTTAAGGAATCAATGAATCTCAACCCGAAATCTGGATCGTGAAAACTCAGGATTTTACAGCCTTGCATGAGTATATTTTTGGGAACAATTTTTAATTGACACATAGCGCTCAGAATTATATAAGCATCAAATCCACGCGCATTGTGTGCAACAAATGTATAATTGCTGAATTTAGGACGACGCATCTGCATAATAAAATCTTTAATGCAATCTAAACCAAATTTCTCCCAAACGTCGCCTGAATCGGATTTTGCACAGATTAAAAAAGGTGTATGCACACCGTTCTGATCCGTAAACGTTTCAGTGTCGTAATAAATAACCTTTTCCGTTAAACCGTCATCTTTTTTTTCAAGCTGAATAAAACAGCGATGATCGTCCGTGACCACCGACTGTTTGCAAACGATGCATTTGGTCGCTGAGCAAACGTGCTGTGAACCATTTCCACCCATGGCGATGTAATAAGTTTGTTTACAAATGGTGCATTTTTTAAACATTTCGCAAGGAGAAACTAACCTGTTTGCTTGAGGCCTGAAAACAGGTGTTTTGTGAGTTTGAAAACATATTACATTTTGGCATATTCGATTACAATCAGAACATGTGATGAGAGACGTTTCTGTTCGTTTGCATAAATCGGTATTACACACGCGACAGAACCATTTACAATGATGTCCGTTTATGTTATTATAAGCGGAAAAGCACCATGAACAAAAATATTTGGCTCCTAAGAAACCTTTAATATTTTTTATGCCGTAATAATGTTGATTGAGTAGCAAAATGAACAACGGATTTGTTCGATCGCTAAAATCTGTTTCAAATTTAGAAATGATTCTGTCGGATCTGTAAAAAATGATTATTTTTCTTTGAACAATATTTTCAAATTGAATCACGTCGCTAAATGAAACGGTTGATTGCTCCTGAAGCCCTGCCTGTTGATGAATATTTTTAGCCACATTCAATAATTCTGTATCTCTCGCTGAGGGATTTAACAGGCCGGCTATGCTTAGCGCAAAACACAACGGCTGATTGGCCTCTGGAGGGCAAATGAGATGGTTTCGTTTTTTATTGACTAATTCGTGATCCAGAATGGTTTCGATTTTTCGTTTTCCGCCGCCGGACGGGTTATTTATCACTTGCAGTCTGAAATTAAATTCGTTGTCGGCCTCTAATGCTTCATTTGATTGGACTAACAGATCCAGTAAATACTGAAGCTGATTTAACATATTTGATCCGTCATAATTAAAATTAACGTGGTGCGTCGTGTGTAAAGTATTAATTTCAAACTGGACTCTATCGTTGGGACGCGCAATCTGGCTTCCTCTTTCAGCAAACCTGTTTAATATTTCCATCAGATTAATATAAAACTCGGCTGGGTCGTTGATTGCTTGAAAAGACACTCTCTCTCTAATTTCACGCTGGTTAAAAGCTGCGTTTACGCTCCCTCCGATCTGCCGGTGTTCTATTTGTCTCAATATTTCGTTTATTGCTTCTGATGAAGGCTCATCTGAATTTGCTAGAATTTGATCGATCTCGTTTACGCGCTGCTGGTGTTCTATTTGTCTCAAAATTTCGTTTATTGCTTCTGATGAAGGCGAATCTGAATTTGCTAGAATTTGATCAACCTCGTTTACGTGCTGCTGGTGTTCTATTTGTCTCAATATTTCGTTTATTGCTTCTGATGAAGGCGAATCTGAATTTGCTAGAATTTGATCGACCTCGTTTGAAACGGCTTGGGATGCTAAGATCTCACTATCTGAAGCTAATTCATCTACTTCACTCAGTCCGCTTAAATCAAACCAGTCATTTAACACCAAATTATCGGCCTCATCTGAGGGATTTTGGCTGGCTAAAATTCGATCTAACAAATCTACATTTAATTCACCATCTACTTCAATCAAATCTGAAAGGTCGTCAAACCAATTTTCACTCATGATACAAAAGACATTAATAACCTACTAAAAATGAAGAAAAAATCTGCGTCCTCCTTTTACAGAGCCAGCACTTGTTGGACCACTTCGACCAGGCCTGAGTTGACCTGCAGCAATAAGTAGGCCATTTTCATCCTGTTTAATCTCTGAAGTGGTGAAAGACGGATGTTTTTCTTTTTCTTCAGTCGTTTTTCTGATGAAAAAAATAAATAAAAATAAATAAAATGAACGAGCTTTTAATAAATTATATATAAAATTTAACTTACTCTGTACAGGTGCAGGAGGTGGTGCGTTCTCTTCCTCTTCATCTGAAAGGATAAAAACATCTTTTTTACTTCAAATTTAATATACTATGCGGAGCTTTTTGTGAAACAGCTTACCGGCTGGCTGCTCAGGACCACGTTCAGCGGTTTCAGAGTCGCTGTCGGATTGTTCTGAAAGAATAAAAATAATGAAAAAATATGAACGAATCATCTTTGAAGTAAATAACCACCTTTTTATAAATCTCTTACCCTGTGCAGGAGAAGGGGGAGGAGGAGGAGGAGGAGGAGGAGATGGAGGAGGTGTGGGCGGAGATATTGAAGCGGCAGTCGAATGTTGTTCTGAAAGGATAAAAAAACAACGGTAAATGTGTACGAGTCATCTTTGACTTATTAATCAGTTGTTTTTTTATCGTTACCATCCGTCCGCGCATGAGAAGGGGCTGGAGGTGGTGGGGGCTGAGATATTGGGGGTGCGTAGGCCGTCGGACGTTGCTCTGAAGAATAAAAACGATAAATATGAACGACACATCTCTGACTTATTAATCGCTATTTTGTAATCACTTACCAGCTTCGAGGATCGTCTGCGGCGTGACGGTCCTGTAACGAACAGCTTTCACGCTCGCATTCCCGTGTGATCTGACGGTATGGCTGGGCTGATACGAATGTAAGACGGTTCGGCTGGTGGATGGAGGCGTGGTTGGGTAAAAGTTATCACTTCCGGGGTAAGGTTGAACCCCCTCCTTTTCTGTAAAATGAGATATTTCTCAGTTGAAGAAAAGAACGTTACGTATATATTTATAAAATCCACTCACTCAGATTCTCGACCGCGCGATTAATTTTAGACAAATCATCCAGGGGGACCGGTACCGGAGTTTTACAAGTTAATTCCTCAATAGGAATTTCTTCCCACTCGCCGTCCGATATGACAATAGCGTCTGAAAATAAAGATGTTAAACCAGAAAGAGAAAAAAAAAGATTTGCGTCTTGAGTTAAAAACTTACCCGTCATCTTAGCTTGTTACACCTCAAATCACGACTCCGAAAATGCGCTTTTACATTTTATACAGCTGTTTAAAAAAATCATGAATAGAAAACGGTTGCGATTGGTCGAAAAAAAAATGTTTATAAACAATACAGAGTCATTTGCTTTGTTGTATAGGTAGACAAATGTATGAATGGTTGTTTAGAGTTGTGTGTGTGTGTGTGTGTGTGTGTGTGTGTGTGTGTGTGTGTGTGTGTGTGTGTGTGTGTGTGTGTGTGTGTGTGCTCGTATCCATTGCTTCGTCAAAACTCCCTGGAGCAGAAATAAAAAAACCTTTACGATCCAAAAAATAATACCGGACATTTCTTCCTGAAATCTCATCATGTCTCAATTCGAACGTTGTTTTTAGCAGAGGAAGGCTATATTCAAAACACGTATCCATCGCTTCTTCTTCTTATTCTTATTCTTCGCTCATGTTTTGGTTAAAATGTAGCAGCTCTTTCACTCGTGTGTAAATCCGTTTACGGCATGCATGTGCCTTAGTTTAACTATTCTGGGAGGTATGTCATTAAAGGTTTGACCAGAGGTACGTCTGCTCTGAGACTTTACTAATCCACCCCTCCCAAAAAACAAACCTCATAAACAGCTTTTTATTTATTTCAGCTGTTATAGGTCCTACAAAATGGATCAAATCTTTTCTCTGAGGCAGGAAGCAATGTGTGTGTGTGTGTGTGTGTGTGTGTGTGTGTGTGTGTGTGTGTGTCCTAACATTTCTCTCGGTGTGGGTTCCCATGGGTGGGAGCACACCCACCTAAGGAGGTCCAAAATCCAAGTGGGGCCCAAAATGGTGGACCCCACTCCGATTTCAATTAAAATGAGCTCAGCAGCCTCCCCTGATGCTACCATTGCTTTTTTTTTCATGTCAAAAAATTGTCCCCTAAGGTAGCAAAAAGTGGGCAAGTGTGTAAAGGTGTGTATCCTGCAGCCGACCGTAACCGGAAGTCAGGATATACACTTCCCGCAAAATCTTATACACACCGCGGGAGTCTGAAACCTTTGGCCAATGACATTGCTGCACTGAGGAAAACTACCGGAAGTACACAACAAGAAGAAAATAACACGGATTGAAGACAAAAAGACGACGGAGTGATTGGATTATTTTGAATATTTTTACATTTACCGACCTCTGCATGCAGCAGGTAAGCTAGGCATGGTTCAGAAGAGTTTATATTTTGGCGTTCTGTTGGGATGTATTTAAGCTGGCTGCCATGTGGCTAACTTTAGCAACATAATATTATAAATAGTTCGTTGTTTACTCACCCAGACAAGTTTGGAGTTATTTGGAGCCGCTCAGAAGGAGTTTTTTTATCGAGTCGCCATCAGTTTATATCCATATAATGCCAATGGGAGCAAAACTGCAGGAGTTGTTGCTGCATTATCTGCCCTCAAACTCCTTCATTTAACCAAGTGTTCTTATTAAACGTTAACACTACTCCCATCGGAGTTCAGAAAATCTCGTAAGTGTTTATTTGTTCGGTTTGGGGTGATTTCAAGGCAAAAATACAACAATATTGTGCGATTAAAACAGCGTCACGGCCAGTCGCCATCTTGGTTGTAGTCCGGCCAGCACTTTAACTCTGTGCTCTGCAACGGTCGGTTTGACAGAACTTGCTGCTGTTGACATCAGTGTAGTTCGGGTTTGCGTGTTTCCAAATTGCAATAATCGAATGACCAATTGGACTAAATTCAGCTTCTACAGACTCTTTCAGCAACCTACGCGGACTACAGCCGTAATGGCGGAGGGCTGCAACGTTATTGAAATCTCAGTTGGAATCGGTTGCATTAAAAGCCTGTAAAATTCCAGAAGCTAATATGTTAGCACCTTTGAGACGTGCTGAACTCACAGAGGAATTTTTTTTAACTATTCTCAACAAAACATTGTTAAATGAAGGAGTTTTGGGGCAGATAATCTTATAATATCCTGCCCTGATAGGCTCCCATTATATGGATATACAGTGATAGCAACCTGATTAAAACTCCTCCTGAACTACGCCAAGTAGGTCCACACTTGTCTGGGTGAGTAAATTAACGTAATATTTGTTAAAAAAGTTAGCCTGGCCAGCCAGACTCGCTCTGTGCAGAATTGAACAGAGTGAGTCTGGCTGGCCAGGCTAAAAAAAAATAAGGTCCAGGTTGAAAATGCTGCATGTGTCAGTGATGTTGTTGTACCAGAAGTTTGACAGCCCTAGTTTAGATTAGTGACTGAGTGGCTTTGCAGCACAGCTTGGTTATTATATAACAAACTAACTTCTTGGCTTCAACAGGCTCGGTCAGCTCTCAGTGTACACATTTCAGAATTTGTATATTTCATTATCCTGTGTTTGATGTTAAACAATGTGCATCATGCAATAGCAAAGCTCAATGCACAGCTGCTGTATGTGTGTTTGTATGAATGTTCTAGATTTTATTTTTCTCTTGCTATTTTTCAAAAACCTTTCTGTGAGATTTGCCTTGACTAAGTACTAATTACGATTATTTTCACAGAGCCATTATGTCCACAAGAAAGAGGAGGAAAAAGCCTATAGATGATGCAAAGACACACATCCTGTCCTGTACTGACAAGGTTGGGTTTATGTCGAGATACATTGACGGTTACAAAGGTAATTTGCGAAAATTTCTTGACACAACTTGTGTTTTTCAAAAGCAAAGCAGTTGACAAGTTGACAAGTAATTAAAATTGCGCCCACATTTTCAAAGTTAAACACATTTCTTTTAACAACGGTAGTTTTTTCATCTTTACTGCAAACTCACTGATGCACCTGCAGCCTCTCAGAGTTCATGCTGCTCTAAACATTGAAAGAATGATTTAATTTTCTGTTGCTGACTTCTGATTACCTTAAATGGTGTCTGTTTGTTGCTACCAGCAGGTACAAAAAGGAACTTATTTTTATTTGACTATTTTTCTGTCCTGTCTGTTTATCATCTTCCTTCATCTCATCTCAATCCTAAAGAAAAACTGCTATCTGGCTTCATATATATTCACCTTATGAGTTACCTTTGAACTGCAGTTCTAAAAGATCTACCGACCGCAAATATAGAGGAGTGTGTGCTACGCACAGACCGCATCAGTGAGGTGAAGTCACAGCAGAATGAAACAGGTGATGCGCTCTGCTCCACAGCAGCAAAATGCATCAGGCACAAATAAAAGACAGAAAACATGAAGGGATATGAGCCGACATGAACGATTATGTGTTAAATTTGTTTTTGAGATGGCGACACTTTGAGAATGTAGCTGTGGCTGTGCTCAGGATGCATCTGTCTGGAGTGCATCAACGATCAGAGCTCTGCGCCTCTCAGCTCTAAATAATCTTGGAGAGTTCACATAGATAATGTAATATAAGTGGAACCATTGATTTTTCGAAAAAAATGGTAAACTATTGTGTGGAGGATCTACAGACTCCAGTAGTCTGTAGATGAACAGCACCTTCTTCCTTTTCTGGTGCATTTTGTGCAGCTGAAAACACGGTCGTTTCTGCTCCACACCAGACCAGAGGATTACAATCCCAGTGATGTGACGGGAGTTCAACATGCCTCTTATCCTCCAGAGCCACTTGGTGGAGTTTTGAAAAATATTTGATGGCTCCTACCCAGATCAGCATTGGAGCTCTAGAAGAGGATAGAGCTTTCAAAAATTCCTAGCGAGGCGGGGATGCTGGTTTCTAGGTCAGAACTGGATAGGAACTTGTGCTCCTAACCTCAAGAAGAGGATGCAAAGCTTTTAAAAGATGCTAGCGGGCTAGGGAAGCTGGTTTCTGGGTTGTGCTCTGGATAAGATGACATGCGTCTCTCCCTCTCTCTAAAGCGCTAAGCTACATTACGTGAATGGATATTAGCAAGTATTAAACAGCTGACAAATGCTCATTGCCAAGAATCAATATTATATTAACTGACCAATAATATTTTAATTGTCTACACCAGGGATTCCCAAAGTGTGGTGCCGCTAGGGGGTGCGCGAGGTGAAAAGTGTAATGGCTGCGGAGCTCAGAGAAGTCTGTCAAAAGTCACCATTAGCGTAGCCAGAAACTCATTTGTGGGTGGGCCTAAGAAAAAGTAAGTGGGCCCAATGAACGTAATTGAAAACAAGTATATTTTGCTTGTGTGTGTGTGTGTGTGTGTGTGTCCTCCGCACATGCCCTAGCTCAGGGGTCGGCAATCCGCGGCTCTGGAGCCGCATGCGGCTCTTCCATGCGGCTCTCTGTGCTTGTAAAATAATGAATGGATATTTAAATAAAATGCTTTGTATTTTACTGAATTAATTTTACATCTGTAAGCTAATTCTAAATGTAAAGATTGTCTGCGTAAACCTGAACAGGTCCAACCCGGTCTACTGTGAGACCGGGTTGACGCGTCACGCATGTGCGTAAACATAGGCGCTTTCTGAGCTGAAGACGATGTGAGATTCTGGGACTCTCCTCAGACGCCACATTGGAGACAGGAACAAGCACAATTCAGCCAAAGTTTCATCATCAGGGAACATTTTCTAAGTGACAAGTCTCTCTGCTTTTAACTGTTCTGTTTTCTTGTGAAAATTGTTACAAATTTAACTTGATTAACACCAGAGCCAGGCGCACTGCGCCGTTGTCTCGGTCACTGTAAATGAGGGAGAAACAAAATGATCGGATCCTTTTCTGAACTTCCCCACCTACAAAGTTTAATTACAACAATCAAACGTGACAGAGCCTGGATTTGTATTCTGAACAGTCTAAACATGTTTTAAAAAGAAACGTATGACAAAAGTGGCACCTGCTCAGTAAAACCACCAACAGGGTGAAAAATATCAAAATATTGTAGCAGAGACGGGCTACAACTTCTGGATCCACTTTATATAAATTGTTTTATTGATTACCTTCTTATGAAAGATAACTTTGACGTACACGAGCGACCGGTACCGGCTGCTGTCACCTGTTGTTAGCAGCGCTCTGCTGTCTGAGGGTAGGCCCCGCCCACAACGCCGCAGCTGCTGCAGTGTTTTCTTTACTGTGGGAAACGGGTAATAATGGCTCTTTGATGGGAACAGGTTGCCGACCCCTGGTTTAGCGTGACGTCTGATATGTGTATATATATATATATATATATATATATATATATATATATATATATATATATATACATATATATATATATATATATATATATATAGCCATGCCCTGATGTGGGGCTGGGGGGTGTGTCAACATGGTCGGGACATAGAAGGGGGTGCGCGGCTAAATAAGTTTGGGAACCACTGCTCTACATGACAGTAGCATTTTGTTAGCGCACGAGTTGTAGCAAGCTAGCTAGCATCGTTCACTCACAGAGACACCTGCTCCTCCACAGAACCTCCTGACACCACAGATAAATCTCTCTGCTTTGGCTGATGATTTCTCCCTCTGGTTTGTCTCTAAGCTGCAGTTTGCTCTTTAAGGCAAATTTCATCTGTATTGATCCAAAAATGACAAGGAAAGGGTGAAGTTAGTAGGGATTGCATTATTAAACATTAAAAGTAGATGTCAGAATTCACATGAATGAATTTCAGTTCTTTTCTTGTTTCTCTTGGCCTGTTAGGACTTATGTGTCATTTACTGAGCTCCTAAGGTATTTAAAAAGCATTTATTTAGATTTTTAAAAAAGATGCAGGAACCTTGAAATAGCACTTTCTTCTCTATTTCTTCCTCTGCATACATTTTTTCCTCACAATCTCTGGGTGTCAAATCTCAATTATTACAAACTTGTAAATCATAATGTCATTGCACTTGTGAAAATAGATTTAAATGCATTTTTAGTTTACTGCAACTTAAAGCTCATTTGCACCATACATTATTGAACTAGTCAATCTATTTGTTGTATATACATTTGTTATATTGCTTTTCTGTCTCATATATTGCAAATAGGAATACTTTTTTGTATTGCTATTTAATATATAGTTCCATGCCTTGCTGTGGCCCCACTGTAATTTTCCAGTCTGGGATCCATCTACATCTGTTTGTCGGTTTATGTCAAGTCTGAGTTGCATGGGTTAGGGTGCATCGGTGTTGTTACACTTCACTGGTGTGTTACGTGGACCAAATGGTACACAGCACTCTCAGATTAAGGGAAAGTAACAGAGCATAGACAGGACCTCAGTGATACATTCATATGGATGGGTTGGCATCAAAAACATGTTTTGGCCACAGAAAGCCTGATCAAAAATCTGTTTACCTGCAAGGAGAATGTTGAGCATTGTCTGCAGGTTATATACCGACTAGACGCAAGAACCTCAGCCTCACTTTAAAATACTGTAGTATCTCTTTTGAGTCCCAGAATGAAATGTTTAATTATTATATATTTTATAGGAAGAGGAGTGTTTGCCACACCCCCCAATGAACCAGGGGACTTCGTCTTGGAGTACAGGGGTAAACTCCTCACAAAGGAAGAATGCGAGTCAAGACGATACTCAGAGACTGAAAGCAAATTTCTCTTTGGCTTTAAGTGGCAGAACCATTGCTTATGGTAAACATGGAAAAATGGATGATTTTTATTGATTAGAGAAATTCCGAGTTATCCCTGGAACAAGGGTTTAATACTTGATAAACTAATTAAAGCACAAATATTAAAATCTTTTGAAAACAATTATTTCAATAAAACTGTTAAAAAATGTAAAACTATTACAATTTTTTTTAATACTTTTCAGCCTGGATGCATCTGAAGAAGATGGCTCTCTCGGAAGATTGGTCAATGACAACCACAAAAATCCTAATTGCGTTATGAAAAAAATCATAGTTGACAACAAACCACATTTGTGCCTTTTTTCTCTGAAGAAAATAGAAATAGGAGCTGAAATTTATTACAACTATGGTGATTCAAAATGGCCTTGGCGCAGTAAGGTGAGTTGGTTGCTATTTCTCCAATATTAACCATGCTTCCAATATTACTCTTGGTTGTCTATGGAAATGCATTTCATCTTTGATCTGTGATATGTTTTATTCATCTACAATCCAGGTGGGAAAAAACAAGGCTCCTGCAGCAGCAAAAGAGAACCTATTGGGTGGGGAAGGCCAGGTAATGCCACACACACCGTCATGTTTCCAGTCATGTTCTTATGGGGTCCTTCCATTTTCCAAACACATTTCTATCTGGAGTCTCTCCTTTACACACTCGTATGTCTAGTCTGACCCAAGTGGGGCCCTTCCGTCCAGTTCTTCTTGTAGATGTTTTTAGTGCACTATGGTAACACCAGACATGACCTCTGCTGTGATTTTAACATTCATAATTGTATACCGTCTGAGCTTTTACATGTTTTAAACTAATTTTTTGATTCATCCACTGTGAACTCCTGGAATTGTCATGAGAGCTGCTCATTACCAGTAGTCCAGAAGGCCACGCCATGTTCTCAGTTGTCGTTCTGTGCTGCTGTTTCACAGTTAGATGATCTTTTTTGCCTTCGAAAGTCTCTTCATATAGTTCTGAGTCTTTTCTCTGTTATCTATATTTCAGATGAAAGGCCTTCAGACTCCTGCTGCAGCAGAAGAGAATGAGGCCAGCCCTGTTCCTCAGATGCTTAATGATGGACCAATCCCAGATGAGACCTACACACAGGTAAGAGTACATTCAAACACCTTCTTCTGTGCTGACATGTATGTGGTGTTGTTCTACTACTAAACTGGACCAATGCTCATGTGGCTGTATGGTAGTCAGGTGAACCTATTGGGTGGGGAAGGCCAGGTAATGTCACACACACCGTCATGTTTCCAGTCATGTTCTTATGGGGTCCTTCCATCTTCCAAACACATTTCTATCTGGAGTCTCTCCTTTACACACTCGTATGTCTAGTCTGACCCAAGTGGGGCCCTTCCGTCCAGTTCTTCTTGTAGATGTTTTTAGTGCACTATGGTAACACCAGACATGACCTCTGCTGTGATTTTAACATTCATAATTGTATACCGTCTGAGCTGTTACATGTTTTAAACTAATTTTTTGATTCATCCACTGTGAACTCCTGGAATCGTCATGAGAGCTGCTCATTACCAGTAGTCCAGAAGGCCATGCCATGTTCTCAGTTGTTGTTCTGTGCTGCTGTTTCACAGTTAGATGATCTTTTTTGCCTTTGGAAGTCTCTTCATATAGTTCTGAGTCTTTTATCTGTTATCTATATTTCAGATGAAAGGCCTTCAGACTCCTGCTGCAGCAGAAGAGAATGAGGCCAGTCCTGTTCCTCAGATGCTTAATGATGGACCAATCCCAGATGAGACCTACACACAGGTAAGAGTACATTCAAACACCTCCTTCTGTGCTGACATGTATGTGGTGTTGTTCTACTACTAAACTGGACCAATGCTCATGTGGCTGTATGGTAGTCAGGTGAACCTATTGGGTGGGGAAGGCCAGGTAATGCCACACACACCATCATGTTTCCAGTCATGTTCTTATGGGGTCCTTCCATCTTCCAAACACATTTCTATCTGGAGTCTCTCCTTTACACACTCGTATGTCTAGTCTGACCCAAGTGGGGCCCTTCCGTCCAGTTCTTCTTGTAGATGTTTTTAGTGCACTATGGTAACACCAGACATGACCTCTGCTGTGATTTTAACATTCATAATTGTATACCGTCTGAGCTGTTACATGTTTTAAACTAATTTTTTGATTCATCCACTGTGAACTCCTGGAATTGTCATGAGAGCTGCTCATTACCAGTAGTCCAGAAGGCCACGCCATGTTCTCAGTTGTTGTTCTGTGCTGCTGTTTCACAGTTAGATGATCTTTTTTGCCTTCGAAAGTCTCTTCATATAGTTCTGAGTCTTTTGTCTGTTATCTATATTTCAGATGAAAGGCCTTCAGACTCCTGCTGCAGCAGAAGAGAATGAGGCCAGCCCTGTTCCTCAGATGCTTAATGATGGACCAATCCCAGATGAGACCTACACACAGGTAAGAGTACATTCAAACACCTTCTTCTGTGCTGACATGTATGTGGTGTTGTTCTACTACTAAACTGGACCAATGCTCATGTGGCTGTATGGTAGTCAGGTGAACCTATTGGGTGGGGAAGGCCAGGTAATGTCACACACACCGTCATGTTTCCAGTCATGTTCTTATGGGGTCCTTCCATCTTCCAAACACATTTCTATCTGGAGTCTCTCCTTTACACACTCGTATGTGTCTAGTCTGACCCAAGTGGGGCCCTTCCGTCCAGTTCTTCTTGTAGATGTTTTTAGTGCACTATGGTAACACCAGACATGACCTCTGCTGTGATTTTAACATTCATAATTGTATACCGTCTGAGCTGTTACATGTTTTAAACTAATTTTTTGATTCATCCACTGTGAACTCCTGGAATCGTCATGAGAGCTGCTCATTACCAGTAGTCCAGAAGGCCATGCCATGTTCTCAGTTGTTGTTCTGTGCTGCTGTTTCACAGTTAGATGATCTTTTTTGCCTTTGGAAGTCTCTTCATATAGTTCTGAGTCTTTTATCTGTTATCTATATTTCAGATGAAAGGCCTTCAGACTCCTGCTGCAGCAGAAGAGAATGAGGCCAGTCCTGTTCCTCAGATGCTTAATGATGGACCAATCCCAGATGAGACCTACACACAGGTAAGAGTACATTCAAACACCTCCTTCTGTGCTGACATGTATGTGGTGTTGTTCTACTACTAAAATGGACCAATGCTCATGTGGCTGTATGGTAGTCAGGTGAACCTATTGGGTGGGGAAGGCCAGGTAATGCCACACACACCGTCATGTTTCCAGTCATGTTCTTATGGGGTCCTTCCATCTTCCAAACACATTTCTATCTGGAGTCTCTCCTTTACACTTTCGTATGTCTAGTCTGACCCAAGTGGGGCCCTTCCGTCCAGTTCTTCTTGTAGATGTTTTTAGTGCACTATGGTAACACCAGACATGACCTCAGCTGTGATTTTAACATTCATAATTGTATACCGTCTGAGCTGTTACATGTTTTAAACTAATTTTTTGATTCATCCACTGTGAATACCGCATCCAGTTTAAGGTCTTAACTATTGTTTACAATGCCCTAAATGGTCCAGCTCCCGCTTCCCTGTCAGAACTGCTCAAGCCATATGTACCATCCAGAAGCCTAAGATCGGCAGATCACCTGCTCTTTTGCACCCAAAGATGAAATATAAATCCAGTGGGGAGCGGGCCTACGTGTTTGCTGCCCTCAAACTTTGGAATGCTCTTCACCTCAGTGTTCGACAGGCCCCGTCACTGTGTCATTTCAAGTCAGTGCCGAAGGCCTATTTTTATCATTAACTTTGATCAATGATCAGGCTGTTAGTGTTTTAGTCTGTGGTGTCTTCCCTGTTGACATGTGCTTACCTTTTAGTATGTTTTTTTAAAATATTTTTAGTCATGACCTTGTTTTTACTCGTTATTTTTTTTTTAATCTTTTAATTCTTTTAATTTATTATCCCTTTTATCCTTTATAATTTTTTTCAATCTTGTTTGTTATTTCGGGGTTCTTTTTCTATCTTTGTTCGGTGTTTCACTACGGGGAATCGCCCTGGCGTGACCAACTACGGAAGCTCCATTGACATCACGTCTGTCCCTGACAGACTGGTAGCGCCGTGCCCAGGCTCCGCCCACCCAGTATATACACGGCCAACCAACCCCTCCTACTCATTCTCGCTTTCTTGCTTTCTTCCCGTGAGAAACTACACTTTGCTCCCTCAGCGATTTTCAGGCTATCTTTGGTCAGCTGCTTAACTGTTCCCAGGCGTACCATCAGGATCCGTCGCCGAACGCAGTCCCAATGCAGTCTGGATTAGAGCTGAGTAAGTGTTTCTAAGTCACTTGGCACACTTTGCTAGGAACCATTACCGCGTCACGGCGAACTGCTCCCGCGGCTACTCGGTTGTCATTGACGGAGTAGTATTAGCGAGTGTGGCTCAAGCTAACGCGTTGTTGCGAGCTTGTCCTGTTCTTATTTAGCATTTACTCGCTAATGAGCTATTTTGTTGCAGCTAACGTGTCACGACTAGTTGTCCTACATATAAAATATAGCTATAGTTGCAGACTTACACCTGCTAACTAGCTTGCTAACGCTTTTTCAGGCTAATCTGTCACGACCAGTCGGTTTTTCAGCTATGGCTTCCACCCCTACCCAGACGGAAGGGTCGGAACCAAAGGCTAAAGAGGCTGCATCCCGCCTGTGCCCGGCGTCATGTGGGGCTTCTATTTCAGGCAGGGACCCTCATCCTATTGTCATAGTGTGCATGGGTGCTGCTCACGCCCAGGCATCGCTGGCTAACCCGCAGACATGCCCTCACTGCTCCTCCATGCCAGAGAAAAAGGAGGCTTAGAGTGGCAGTGGCTAACAGCCGGAACCCAGGCCTCGGCTTGGCCACACCTGTGATGCAGGTGACGACCATCAGCCGCGAGCCTCCACAAGTTGGGCAGATATGATGGAGGAGGAGCCCCCGCTACCACTTCTGTTCGAGGGACTGGTTGACAGTGGGCTGCTCGATGCGGGTGATTACCTCCTCTATTTGGACATGGACGAGGAGGAAGAGGATTCCACCTTCCCGGCTCAACACTCTAGGCCACCTAGCGGCACTGGGGTGGCATCACAGGGGGACACCGACGTGTACGAGGTTTGCAGGCGAGCAGCTGCAAAGCTCAACATTCAGTGGCCGGCAGCCCAAGGGACAGAAGGTGTGGGACGAGACCTGTATGAGGCTTCCACTGTCCTCCGCTCCACCCAAGTGTTACTGGTCTAGCTCATTTAAAAGCAAACTCCCCACCAAGGGATACTCCAAACTGGAGGTGCATGGGATGGGGGAATTGGGGCTGGCCGAACCCCCAACTGTGGAGCCTTCAGTGGCATACCACCTTCACCCCAACCGCAGATCCGTGTCAGCGTCATCCAGCATCTCTCTCCCATCTAAAACGGATCGTCTCACGGCATCCATTTTTCAGAGGATGCACACATATGCTGGCCAATCTGTGTGTTCCCTCAATGCAGTTACTCTAATGTCAGCTTATCAAGGAGAATTCCTGGAGGAAATGGGTCGTCAGCTGGACTCTTGGGCGCCTAACCCGGCTTTATGGGATGAAATCTGTGTGGTGAATGATCTCATCCTGCACTCTTCTAGAGGAGCAGTCCAGGGCTGTGGACGTGTGATGGGTTTCGGGTGAGAGAGCCTTGTGGCTAAACTTGTCAGGCCTAGGTGACAGCCAGAAAGCTGATGTCATGGATGCAGCATTTGACCCTGTCAAAGGTCTCTTTGGCCCGCCCTGGAGAAGATGACTGAGACAAGCACCCGCAGGAAGCAGGAAGGTGAGGCCCTCAATCTCTGCTTGCCTCGTAAACATAACCCTCAGCCACCTCAGGCACCCAAGCCTGGGTTTGCAGCAGCTGCCCCAGCGGCAAAGGGTCAACAGGGTGGGGCTAGACCACAGCGATCGGCAGGTGGTCAGCCAAACAAGGCGGAGAACCCTCGCCCATGGGGGAAGCACTCTTTTGCAGCAGCAGCCGCGAGGAACCGCCCGTCTCACCCCAGCGAGGGCAAGAGGAAGAAGTCATCCTAGCTGCTCTTGCTTCTCCTCTCCAGAAAAAGAGGAGGTTTTCAGAGGTACAAACAGACCTCTGTGTTCAGGGTTCAGACACTCCTGTGGTTCCCGGTCCAGCAGGAGTGGCGAGTGTGTGGAGCAGAAAACGCAGTGTCACCAAACACTTTTCATGAGCATGCAGTTAGTGTCACCAAGCACTTTGTTCCCAGATGTGTGCAGAAATGTTCAGGGGGGTCATTTAAAAATAAAGACGGCTTTTCTGCAGCCAGGCGTTCAGTCAAGGGCAGACAGCTCCCCACAAAAAATAATAAACAAACCCCATCAGGTCCCTCTGCGCCCAGCAGAGGGCCCTCTCACTCTTCCCACGGGACGAGTCGAGGCTGCTCAGGTGACGGAGATGACGTCACCCAACAGCGGCTTGCTTTCGGTGCGGGCCAAGAGGTGGCGCGCATGCGCAGTTCCCTCGTGGGTTCTGATGACAGTTTGTTGGGGTTCCAGGCTTCAGTTTGCCTCAAAACCTCCCCGTTTCAATGGGATAATAACGTCAGTGGCAAGAGAGGATTCGGCGCATATCCTGGAAAACGAAATTGCTTCACTGTTGAACAAAAAAAGCGATCAGGATGGTGCCGAGCGACGAGGCCCACCAGGGTTTTTATTCGCTCTACTTCCTTGTTCCACAGAAGGATGGGAAATCTCTCCGTCCCATACTCGACCTGCATGTGTTAAACAAACACTTACGCAAGTACACTTTCAGAATGTTGACTCACAAAACACTCTGCCGTTCCATCTGCCCAGGAGATTGGTTTGTCACGATTGACCTCGCAGATGCCTATTTTCACATCTCTATTTATCCTCTACACATGAAGTTTCTCAGGTTTGCCTATCGGGGCACAGCCTACGAGTTTCAAACCATCCCGTTCGGGCTGTCATTAGCATCGAGGGTTTTCACCAAGTGTGTGGAGGCAGCGCTGTCCTCACTGAGGACTCGCGAGATCAGAATTTTCTCTCACATAGACGATAATCTGATTTGCGCTCCCTCCCGGGAGCAAGCAGCCAGCGACGCGCTGGTGGTGTTGAGCCATCTGACCGACCTGGGATTGAAAATAAACTGGACAAAGAGCAGTTTATTCCCCAGACAATGCACAGAATATCTGGGTCTTCAGATAAACTCTCTCTCTTATCGCGTTTCGCTGTCAGAAGAGGATTGCGTCCTTCACACAGTGTGTCGCACGTTTTCAGTTAGGATACCGTGCGTCGTACAGACTTTGCCAGCGCCTTCTCGGCCTCATGGCGTCAATGATTTCTGTGGTGCGACTGGGGCTTCTTATGATGAGAGATGTTCAGTGGTGGGTGAGGTTGTTAAGACTATGCTCCCGCCGTCATCTCCACCGCAGAGTGAAGATAACTCCGGCGTGCATGTCAGCTCTCCAGCCTTGGAGAGACTGAACAGTTCTCACAACTGGGGTTCCGCTGGGGGAGGTGGTGTCCAGAGTTACCATGACGACGGACGCGTCTCTTACAGGTTGGGGGGCCACCTTGATGGGGAGAGCAGTGAACAGCGTTTGGTCACGCAGTTTGAAACGGGTTCACATAAATGTGCTGGAACTCCTAGCAGTGTTTCTGGCCTTAAAGCACTTCCTGCCCTACTTAAGGGACCGTCATGTCTTAGTGAAGACAGACAACACCACAGTGGTAGCTTATATCAACCGTCAGGGCGGGACACTCACCCTACAGCTGCACTCACTGGCCAAGGAAATAATTGTGTGGTGCAGCTCCAGACTCCTCTCAGTCCGCGCAACACATGTGGCGGGCAGCTTGAACAGAGGGGCAGACCTTCTGTCCAGAGGAAATCCTCTGTACGGAGAATGGAAACTCCACCCCAAGGTGGTGCACCAAATATGGCTGAGATTCGGTCAGGTTACCGTAGATCTCTTCACCTCGTGGGAAAGCGCCCACTGCCCACTCTTCTTCTCCCTGACAGACGCGGACGCGCCTCTGTGAGTTGACGCATTGGCTCACCAGTGGCCAAGAGTGCTGCTGTACGCGTTTACTCCTCTCAGTCTGATTTCCTCCATTCTAATAAGAGTGAGGGAACAGGGCCTGTCTTTGATCTTGGTGGCTCAGTTGTGGCCATCCAAGCCATGGGTGGCTTAAATAATCCAGATGCTTTGGGACGAACCCTGGCCCCTGCCTGTCCGCAGTAATCTCCTGTCCCAAGCCAGGGGAGAGATTTATCACCCTCACCCAGACCGCTTGTCTCTGTGGGCCTGGCCCGTGAGAGGTGGAACCTGAGCGTGGCAGGCCTGCCCCCAAGTGTCATTGACACCATTCAAAACGCTAGGGCCCCCTCAACTTGCTCTCTTTACAGCTGTAAATGGAGGGTTTTTGAGGTGTGGTGTGAAGAGAAACGTGTCATCCCATTTCAGTGTTCGGTGGTGGATGTACTCTGTTTTTTGTAGAGTCTGATGGACAAAGGTAAAGCTTTCTCCACTATTAAGGTGTATCTGGCTGCAATTTATGCATGCCATGTGGGGTTTGGTGACAAACCGGTGGGGCAACACCCATTAGTGAGTCGCTTCATGATGGGTGCTCGCCGTAAGCTACCAGTCTTTAGGCCACTGGTACCACTGTGTGACTTCTCTCTAGTTCTGGAGGCCCTCTGTCATCATCCTTTTGAACCTATAGATGGGGCTGGATTGAAATTTCTCTCTTTAAAAACTGCGCTGCTCTTAGCTTTAACTACAGCAAAGAGAGTGAGTGACATTCAGGCATGGTCAGTCAGTCCCTCGTGTTTACGGTGGGCCCCTGGCTACACTAAAGTGTGTCTGCGGCCCAATCCAGCTTTTGTGCCTAAAGCTAATGACGTTAACATGATAGGCGGTATTATTAGGAAAGGATGTGCGAACATCACCGCTGCTGCTGCGTTGAAATTCACTAGTCTGGAGCTGGTGAAAACACGTCATTTACTTAAAGTTATCGAGGATTTTGTGCCCAAATGCTTTTTCCTTCCCTTGATGAAATATCCACTATTGCAAGTCAACCTGTGGTTATCCTTTCTTGTAAAGGCGGCATTAAGAACATTGAGTGGCCAGTAAAATTTTGAATCTGGTGGATGAAAAAGTTAAATTCCTGCCCTAAGAGTAATGATGACCGGATAAGAGAATAATTCTATAGTTGTATACTTTTGCAGATTGCCCACAAGTTCAGCTTTCCAATATTTGTTCAACTATCTTTTTAGACCATTCACATGGAGGGACCTTTAGCAGAGGACATTGAAGGTATGTGTATGCAATGTTCTTAAATTGATGCTAAATTATCTGTTTTACCTGTTTTGTGTATTTTATTCTTACAAGTAATTATTTACGTCCAGATGTCTGTGTGCTAGGTGACAAGGGGTCAGACGATGAGGTCAGCATGTCATCCAGGCAAGAATGTACCTCCATATCAGAAAGTCAAAACCAAAGAGTGTCTGCAACAGGTGAGCTTCAATGCAGTTCTTACCTTTGGTGCATTTTCACACAGTGCATGACAAAAATTAGCATCAACAACCCCATCTCCCTCCTTTGTCCCAACCACCTCCTCCTCCTGCAACTCTGTCAGGAGACCTGTCTGATGCAGAGGCTGCACAATCAACACAGTCAAACACAACCCCAGTTTTAAAACTGAACATTGGGTTAGTACTGCCTTACATTACAAGCAGCTTTAACTTTTAGGTTAGCGTGCATCCACCTGCTGCTTATAGGTTGCTTCAATCTCTCTGCGTGGACTTCACGCAGGGATAGCATAGCTACAAAACACCTCTCTCATTATAGAACATCTGGTAGGTCCACGATAAAGTGACGCAGGACAATTCCCTGAGCACATTTATCTGCTGAATAATTGTGATTGCACAAGGGGGAGATTAAAAGATTAGTTTTATTTAGAACAATTTAAATCACGTTTACCTCATACATGGGTGAGAGAGACGGACAAAAATAGATTCAAAGAAGGATTTTATTACAAGAAAGGACTCACATATATTTATATGCACGTACAGTACATTAAGACACACGTGACAAACATTAATAATAGAAGGAAAAGATGGTTTTACACTGTCAGAACAAGCAGCGGAGAGCCAACACGCCAGAAGCCTGTTCCAGGCCTCTCGACACCTCAGCTCTCGGTCAGTCCTCTGCACTCCAAATGGTTTTATTCCACCCACAGTCTTCCAAACAAAGACCCGTAAATCTCTGTCAGGAGGTTTGGCCAACCACCGCATGTCTAAGGCGGGGATTTCTCAAGTCACAGAGTTTTTGTTGAAAGCCAAAACCTGCTGGCTACTTAATTTATGACTGACAGCCAGGAATTCAGTTTCCAAAGCTACGAGTTACCACTCACTCTTGCAACCTCCAATGTAACCATCCTGTAAGACCAAGTGAAGAGGACAAAAAGGCCCTTTAACTGAAAACAACTGAGGATAAGAAAAAACCCTTTAATCCACAAGTTTATTATTTTATTACTTAAAAAGAGGAGCATTTTAAAAATACCTATCATTATCCAAGTCTCCTTCATGGCAGCAAACGGACTCCACGGTTGTTGCTCCACGGCTGAGCAGTGACCGCATTTGCACTACAAAGGGTTGCCAACCCTCTCCTCACTGTCATCTTTGTCCGTAGCCGCTGCGCCCCTCCTCCTCATTACTGGCTTAAACGCATACTGTATGCCATCGGGTTAGATGACATGAACTAAACTCGCTCAGCTTCATCTTGACATTTTTCCTCTTCAACTATGTACTTGTTCTCCACTCGCTGTAACTGTGTACTCGTGCAGAATTGAGGAGAAAAAATGTCTTAATAGCCATGCAATCTCTCCATGAAGTCTGTGCCCTGAGATTGGAGCAACCTATAAACAGTAGGTAAGTGCACACTAACCTTAACTATAACGCTACTTGTAATGTCAGTAACAACGGTCGCTGTCTGGTGAAATCAGTTCATATTCCATGCTTTCGTTCTTTTTTAAACACAGAAACAGTTTTGTTTACCTGTTTTGTAGCTACAGTTTCGCCGACGGCTGCCGTCGGTGAAACTGTAGCTACAAAACAGGTAAACAAAACTGTTTCTGTGTTTAAAAAAGAACGAAAGCATGGAATTAGAACCACGACACAGTAAGAACACACCTAAGAAATCAGTTCATTTTATGTTGTCCAACATCCAATCTTTGAGGCGTACAGCTACTTCAGCACTAGTGGGCTGCGTAGGACAGTCTTTCGTCTGTACACTATATGAGGAAATGTATTGCTTGAGGACCACAATCCTGCAAGTCTTAGATGTTTCCCTGCTGCAACACACCTGATTCATTGTGCAGAGCTTGGCAACAAGCTGTTTAATCTATTTAACTTGAATCAGGCGTGTTGAAGCAGGGAAACATCTCAGACCTGTAGGATGTGGGTCCCTAAAGAGTGAAGTTGGCCATCCCTGGGCTAACATGACAATTAATATTTTTACTTCACTAGTCACTTGAAAATGATTTAGAATAGGAGACAGAATGAAATTCCGTCTCTCCCTTTAAGAGACACAAATTCCATATACTTATTTTATAAAATAACAACCACTATACTGACGGCTATTACATATTTTGTGTATTGTATACTTTAATAAAGTTATTTCTTGATCCAGATGTCAGTATGCCAGAAGAGGGGTCAGAACATGAGGTCAGCATGTCATCCCTGCAAGAATGTACCTCCACGCCACAAGTCCAAAACCAGACTGTCTCTGCAAAAAAGAGAGGTAAGGGCTTGCACTCTCTTGCACTCTGGGGCATAAGGACCCGTTTTACTGTGCCATGGTTTATCGTCCTCCTGGTCCAAACAGTTCTTTTCTTAAGGAGTTTAGTGTCTTTCTATCCTCCACCTTGAAGCTGTCCAGACTGGTTATTGTTGGTGATGTTAACATCCACGTAGGGCTGGGCAATATGGCCTAAAATCAATATCACGATATATTGAGGATTTGAACCTCAATAACGATAAATGGACGATAACAACAGGTATGTGCAGAAACAAAAGTTGTTCACTAGATGGGGCTGTCACATGTATTACGTTGAATCACATTTTTATGTGACTCAAGGTGGTACAGCTTCTTAAAGGGACATGAACATTGCCAACTTACACACCTTTTTTTTTTAATCAAATTTATTGACATGGGAAAAATTATCTCGATAAGAGGCAGAAATTTCGATAGTGATACATTTTCGATTTATTGCCCAGACCTACATCTACGATGATGCCTCAGACCACTTTCTCATTACCTTGTCCAGCCTCCTGACTCCTTCAGCTTTACCCAGCATGTTGCTGGCCCCACACACACCAAGGGACACACTCTAGACCTTGTTTTTACTTTGGGTCTACATGCTGGTAGTGTTTGTCCTGAGGATGTTCATATTTCAGATCCCCATTGCGTTATCTTTAACTTGTCAGTTTCCCCACCTCCTGCTCACCTTCTGGTTAGTTCTCGTTTTCTTAATGAGAGCACAGCTAGCAAATTTTCTGCTGCTATTGATCCACCCTGTTCTTCTGATAACGACCCAGATTCCTTAACTTCTCAGTTTAACAAGCACTGCATTTCCATTCTGGACAACATCTGTCCTGTCAGAACCAGATCAGTTCCTGCAGTGAACCCTACTTCCTGGGGGCAGCAGTAGCTCAACAGGTTGAGCGGGTTGTCCAGTAATCGGAAGGTTGCAGGTTCGATCCCGGCTCCGGACAGAGAATGCTGCTGTTGTGTCCTTGGGCAAGACACTTAACCCACCTTGCCTGCTGGTGGAGGTCAGAGGGACCGGTGGCGCCTGTGCTCGGCAGCCTCGCCTCTGTCAGTGCGCCCCAGGGCAGCTGTGGCTACATCATAGCTCATCACCATCAGTGTGTGAATGTGTGTGTGAATGGATGAATGATACACTGTAGTGTAAAGCGCATTGGAGTCCTTACTCTGAGAGGTGCTATACAAGCGCGGGTCATTTATCATTATCATTTAATGACAGCCTTTGCAGCCTAAAGCACCAATGCAGAAAAATTGAGCGTGTTAAAGTGGAGAATGCTCCCTTTACGTGAAATAAGGAATGTTATTTTAACAACCTTTGGAAATGATTAATATTGATTGAATATTAATTCGGACAACGCTTATTTTTCTCAGAAGACCTAAAGAACTTTTTATTCTCAGGTATTTAGACTCGCTTGAATAAAGATCAACCTTCAACAATTTTAAAAGAATTTAATTTATAAATCACAATTTAAAATCTCACACAGTTAACAATTCCCTGATGTTTAATGAGCTAAAATGTGCATGAGAGCAGAGCTTAGCTGAGGGCTTAGTTCATCTGTCTGAAACAGAAATGATGTTTTGGGTTAGTCTACTGTGTCGCTTTGGAACAAGAAGTGATCATGAGTGCCCTAAATCACCTGGGGGGTGTCTTGGACGGACCCCGGTCGATGGAGGAACACGGTTGCTCCCAGCTGGTCTCCCAATCCGTGAGGCTTTGAGGTTAAAGTCCACTGGTCAAAATCAGTCTCTGATTGGCTCAAGTTTAAGCAAACCGTTCCACGTTTGATGGTGGAACTCAGTTGGTGTTTTCAGCTTGCTTGCAAGTGTCCAGAACCTGGCAGCGTGCCAAAGTTCTGATGTTGTCGAAGAGGAATTCACGGGCCCTGTGAAGTCTCAACGAACTGACTCTCAGCTCGCTTGTCAGTAGTTTTGTAGAACGACCCCCCTTCCCGGGGCATTCCCAGATCGTGACGTCTTTGCCCTTGAGAAGCTCTGCTCTTGCCTGCTGTGTGTTTAACAATATGTGGTGTATTATTCGTTATCACATCATCTCCATTAAACATCATTTACAAGTTTGATCACAAATTGATTCAGCAGTTGATCATATTAATTAATTCATCAACAGATCTCATTCTTTATTAAAATCATAAGATGAACAGTTCAGCTGTCCTCCTTCCCCACACTGCGTCCTTGACGACTGGTTATCAGAACCCAGCCTCTGCCGTCCTTGCAGAAGGAGAGTGTGTCTCAGCAGCCATCTCGGCTCCAGGTAAAAGCAGAGGCACATGTCGGGTCAGTTTGACCCGTCACAGAGGTTGATGGTCAGTAGCTTGTTGTTGTTACAAGCGCTTGTGGAAGAAAACCCGTCTCCATGTCCATCTGCTGCATCTAAAGAATCTTCTGACTTCCTTTAACTCTGCAGTCAGAGATGCAAAGGTTGACTATTTCTCCAACCTGGTGTCCCAGAGCAAAGAGAATCCCAAGGTGCTGTTTAACACCATCAGAAGCATCTTCTCCCCTGCCTCTCCTACAGCCTCCATTCACTCTGTTGTAGACTGTGAGAACTTTCTGTCTTTCTTTGTGGACAAAGTCAATAAGGTCAAATCTAGCATCTCTCCCTCAGCCTTATCTCTGCCTCTCCTGACTCCAACCAGGCCCATCATCCTACATAGCTTTGCTCCTGTTTCTTTGCCTGAGTTAACCAAACTAGCCAACTCTATGAAGACCTCTGCATGCCCCCTCTACATCTTACCCTCATCTTTGTTTAAAAGTGCTTCTCAGTCCATCGATCCCAGCGTGCTCTCCACAATTAATGCTTCTCTGGTTTATGGTCAGGTCCCTGCTTACTTTAAAAACGCTGTGGCCATCTCCAAGGTCCTCCACCACCTCCCTCACCCATGGTGTCCCACAAGGTTCTGCACTGGGGCCTCTACTCATCTTCCTCTATCTGATTCCTCTTCAGCACATCCTGAGCTCTTTCAGAGGAATCTCCTACCATCTTTATGCAGATGACATCCCAGCTGTACATCTCCTTTAAGCCCCATGAGATGTCTAAGCTGCAGCTGTTACACACCTGCTTAGACTCTATCAAAACCTGGATGGCTGGGAGCTTTCTTCAGCTGAATGAAGATAAGACTGAGATCCTCATCTGTGCCCCAGACAAGCTGGTTCCCAAAGTCAGAGATCTTGGTCAGCTTGCTTCTCACACCAAACCCTCCGTCAGGAGTCTTAGTGTGACCTTTGACCCGGCTCTCACCCTGGATTCTCAAGTCCGTTCTCTTGTTCGCTCTTCCTTCTTTCATCTCAGGAACATTGCAAAGCTGAGTCCCATTTTGTCCTGCTCTGAACTTGAGACAGTTCTCCACACCTTCATCTTCTCACGCTTGGACTACTGCAACTCTTTTCACGTGTCTGAGCAGAACCTCCCTGAACCGTCTACAGGTGGTTCAGAATGCCTGTCAGCTCAGCTTCTAACCAGGACCTCCAAACACACCCACATCACCCCGCTTCTCCTCCAGTTTCAGTGGCTGCCAGTCAACTTCAGGGTTCATTTCAAGATCATGGTTCTGGTTTATAGGGCCTTACATGGACAAGCACCACCATACTTTGGTGCTCTTCTCAGACCCTACACCCCAGCAGGTCCCTGAGGTCCAGTGACCAAAGCCTACTGTTAGTCCAGCTCAAGGCAAAAGACCAAAGGTGACAGATCATCTGCTGCTGTAGCCCCCAGACTCTGGACCTCTCTTCAAGTACATGGAAATGGTACAAATGGAATTCTGTTACCTGATTTGTTTACATGCAGTAAGTTTTGTGCTGACCACCATCAGAGGGCCTTGGGGATTTTTGAGACTGAATTTGTGGAATAATTTTGGACAATAACCAAAATTGTTGTAATTCTAAAACAGTGGGTCTTACAGTGTTAATCAAGATTAAAACTTCTTTATAATAGAAAACCTACATTGTTTTGTTTTTGTCCACACAGAAAAACAAACAGCTGTCAAGAGAAGCTGGACCCCAGAAGAGTGTGCTGCAGTGGACAAACATTTGAGGAGATTTATCGTGAGGAGTCAAGTTCCTGGTAAAGAAGAGTGTCAGCGCTGTATTACTGCTGCACCTGAAGCTCTCAGAAACAGAGACTGGAAAGCTGGTAAATATTATGTTAAAAATCGCATTACAGCCCTGAGAAGAAAAGTAGTATGAAAGCACCTAATTGAACGGAGGTAAAAGCAAAACATTGGATGTCAAAATGTTTTGTCCTTTGTTGTGTTTGTTGTTACTTTTTGTTGTTTTTGTAAGGGTTTGCTCAGGTTTTATGGCTGTTCCGTTGTGTACAAATAAAAACATTTCACAGTTTTTTTTTGTATATTTTTTACACCTGTAATAACAAGGCATTTTGAATGCAGTCCAATGAAACGCATAATTTCAATGCCAATGTAACAAAAAATGTTGGGTTTGCATAGAACTTCAAACTGATATTGTTAAAACATTCAGTGGAGATTAGATTAATGATTTAATAATTAAAAAAATCACAAGCATATGGCATAAAATGTAATTAAATTGGTCATTTCAATTTTGTTATTAAACTGTCTTTGAAGCTGAATGTCTTGTAATCTGTCATCGCAGATAGAAATGTTCACACATATACATAATCACTTATTACAAAAAAATATTTTAGTCCAACATGAGGAAACTGGGAGTAATAATAAAGACTGGTATCAGCAGCTGCAGATAGTGACCGTGGGCCCCATTAACATATAAAAACTTGATATGTACGTGTGTATGTGAATGGACCTCACAAGTATGCAATGCTAGAAACGGTCCCCACAAGTGGCCAAATACCTTTTTGGTCAAAACTTTAGAAATGTGTTAAATTGAAGTGATATTAATGATTTAGATTTTTTTTTACATCTAACCTTGTTTTTAAAAGCGATGTAGGACCACTGGAAAGGGTGGATCCCATAAAGCATAGAAAAACCGGTGGGCCTCATAAGGGGCAAAAACCAGAATGCGTGTGTGTGTGTGTGTGTGTGTGTGTGTGTGTGTGTGTGTGTGTGTGTGTGTGTGTGTGTGTGTGTGTGTGTGTGTGTGTGTGTGTGTGTGTGTGTGTGTGTGTGTGTGTGACAGTGAAAACAAAATGTGACTCTAAAGGCAGGAGGCGATGGTTAAGCTTTCACCTAAATAGCTCTTTGAAACAATAGCAAGTCATTTGCTTTTGTGAATTGTTACCATGCCGACTTGGTTAGAATGAATCAGAACTTTGTTTTAAAACTTTCCCGCCACTCTTTCAATTCAGCCCACCTGCAAAAAAAAAAGTAATTTGCTTTTTGTGTGTTGTTTCTGTGACGATTTGGTTCAGCCAGATCTTTGTTTTAAAACTTACCGCCACCTGCAGAACAAAAAGGAAGTCATTTGCTTTGTCAGAAGTCGCTGGCCGTGCAAAATTGTTTAGAATGAACTTTAAGAAAGCTCAACAGATCTTAAAAAGCATCACGCTGAGGTAAGGATCAACTTTTGTTCTTATAGGCTTGAGTATGCAGGCTGGTTTACAACAGTACCTTAAATGGTTTAGGATGGTAAACCATTGCTTTTGTGAAGTGATAGAAATGTTTGAATGGTTTAGTCAAAGACAAATGTTTGAATGTAATCCCTTTACTTCTTAGAGAAGTGTGTGTGTGCGTGTGTGTGTGTGTGTGTGTGTGTGTGTGTGTGTGTGTGTGTGTGTGTGTGTGTGTGTGTGTGTGTGTGTGTGTGTGTGTGTGTATGTGTGTGTGTGTGTGTGTGTGTGTGTGTGTGTGTGTGTGTGTGTGTGTGTGTGTTTGTGTGTGTGTGTGTGTGTGTGTGTGTGTGTGTGTGTGTGTGTGTGTGTGTGTGCTTACAACCATTAATTTGATGTGCTGCTGGACAGAGAGTTTTACACAATAGTTTTAGTTCTGGTCAAAAAGTGTCAGTGAGCTGCATGTAAATAACACATTTAAACACAAAGTTTAAGACTGAACATACGAAATCCAACGTGAACATCTCAAAGAGAGTATTAATGACATAGACAAATGTGTCACTCTGAAGAGTTTGTGTGTGTTCAGCAAAAGGCTGCAAAAGTTCATGCATTGACTTCAGCTTCTGCCACTCACTCAAGAGCTAGCAGACCATACCATCTTGTCTGCTACTACAAAAACAGATTCTTTAACTTTGAGGAAACGTACAGCCATTTCATTCACGCTGAGGTAAGGATCAACTTTTGTTCTTATAGGCTTGAGAATGCATGGTGGTTTACAACAGGACCATAAATGGTTTAGGATGGTAAACCATTGCTTTTGTGAAGTGATAGAAATGTTTGAATGTAATCCCTTTACTTCTTAGAGAAGTGTGTGTGTGTGTGTGTGTGTGTGTGTGTGTGTGTGTGTGTGTGTGTGTGTGTGTGTGTGTGTGTGTGTGTGTGTGTGTGTGTGTGTGTGTGTGTGTGTGTGTGTGTGTGTGTGTGTGTGTGTGTGTGTGTGTGTGCTTACAGCCATTAATTTGATGTGCTGCTGGACAGAGAGTTTTACACAATAGTTTTAGTTCTGGTCAAAAAGTGTCAGTGAGCTGCATGTAAATAACACATTTAAACACAAAATTTAAGACTGAACATACGAAATCCAACGTGAACATCTCAAAGAGAGTATTAATGACATAGACAAATGTGTCACTCTGAAGAGTTTGTGTGTGTTCAGCAAAAGGCTGCAAAAGTTCATGCATTGACTTCAGCTTCTGCCACTCACTCAAGAGCTAGCAGACCATACCATCTTGTCTGCTACTACAAAAACAGATTCTTTAACTTTGAGGAAACGTACAACCATTTCATAGGTACTTGACAGTGTGTGGGGCTGTCATTCACAACAGTTAGGCCGCACTCATCCACTGTCAGTGAGCCATTTTTTTCTTAGAGCTCGGCTTTTCACCATTCGGACAGATCTGAGCTTTTAAAGAGTTAAACACAATAGGATTACACTCAGAAGGGAGGGGCTGTGGGAACCGATGGGCTATCACAAAAAAGAAACCACACACCATTACACACATTAGCCTATGACGTGGGATATCATGGACGCTCAACAATACGCCATTGATGATGCGGCGTGGGGGGTCTAGACCATCTGGACACGTTCAACAATACGCCATTGATGATGCGGCGTGGGGGGTCTAAACCATCTGGACGATCAACAATACACATGTCCATTTGATTAATGATACGGAAGGGGGGGGGCAAAGATTGAACAATACACCTGTCCATTTGATTAATGATAGGAAGGGGGGGCAAGGTCAAGGGTCAAATGAACAATAGGAATGAAAGGTCAAAGAACAATAGACCTGTCAAAATGTTTGACGAAAGGTGTCTTATAATTCTCTCTCTTTCGTGCAACATAATTCTGGGTGCCATTTACAAACCATAAGTGCTAATGACTCCATTCCTTTTTGTGGTTGTAGGGGCTGTTGATTGGAGTACACTAAAACAAACCTGATCTCTCTAGGACATTCAGAAGCCAAGTTATAAGCCCACAAATGTGTAACTGGACTACTTCGTTAAAGTGACACCAGATCCGGTGACCTTTGGGACATGGTTTGACCCCCTTAGGAAAGTGCTATCATCATGAAACGTTCAGATCACTTACAACTCAATAGATTCTACCTTCCTGTAACGTTTCAGCCTGATTGGACCTTGTTTTCACACAAATGAACCCAGAATGATGTGAAATTGTGCTTCGTGCAACATAATTATGGGTGCCATTTAAAAACCATAAGTGCTAATGTCTCCATTCCATTTTGTGGTTCTAGGGGCTGTTGATTGGAGTACACTAAAACAAACCTGATCGCTCTAGGACATTCAGAAGCCAAGTTATAAGCCCACAAATGTGTAACTGGACTACTTCTTTAAATTGACACCAGATCCGGTGACCTTTGAGACATGGTTTCACCCCCTTAGGAAAGTGCTATCATCATGAAACCTTCAGATCACTTACAACTCAATAGATTCTACCTTCATGTAACGTTTCAGCCTGATTGGACCTTGTTTTCACACAAATGAACCCAGAATGTTGTGAAATTGTGCTTCGTGCAACATAATTCTGGCTGCCATTTAAAAGCCATAAGTGCTAATGACTCCATTCCTTTTTGTGGTTGTAGGGGCTGTTGATTGGAGTACACTAAAACAAACCTGATCGCTCTAGGACATTAAGAAGCCAAGTTATAAGCCCACAAATGTGTAACTGGACAACTTCTTTAAATTGACACCAGATCCGGTGACCTTTGGGACATGGTTTGACCCCCTTAGGAAAGTGCTATCATCATGAAACGTTCAGATCACTTACAACTCAATAGATTCTACCTTCCTGTAACGTTTCAGCCTGATTGGACCTTGTTTTCACACAAATGGACCCAGAATGATGTGAAATAGTGCTTCGTGCAACATAATTCTGGGTGCCATTTACAAACCATAAGTGCTAATGACTCCATTCCTTTTTGTGGTTTTAGGGGCTGTTGATTGGAGTACACTAAAATAAACCTGATCTCTCTAGGACATTCAGAAGCCAAGTTATAAGCCCACAAATGTGTAACTGGACTACTTCTTTAAATTGACAATAGATCCGGTGACCTTTGGGACATGGTTTGACCCCCTTAGGAAAGTGCTATCATCATTAAACGTTCAGATCACTTACAACTCAATAGATTCTACCTTCCTGTAACGTTTCAGCCTGATTGGACCTTGTTTTCACACAAATGAACCCAGAATGATTTGAAATTGTGCTTCGTGCAACATAATTCTGGGTGCCATTTACAAACCATAAGTGCTAATGACTCCATTCCTTTTTGTGGTTGTAGGGGCTGTAGATTGGAGTACACTAAAACAAACGTAACCTCTCTAGGACATTCAGAAGCCAAGTTATAAGCCCACAAAGGTGTTACTGGACTACTTCTTTAAATTGACACCAGATCCCGTGACCTTTGGGACATGGTTTGACCCCCTTAGGAAAGGGCTATCATAATGAAACGTTCAGATCACTTACAACTCAATAGATTCTACCTTCCTGTAACATTTCAGCCTGATTGGTCCTTGTTTTCACACAAATGGACCCAGAATGATGTGAAATAGTGCTTCGTGCAACATAATTCTGGGTGCCATTTACAAACCATAAGTGCTAATGACTCCATTCCTTTTTGTGGTTGTAGGGGCTGTTGATTGAATTACACTAAAATAAACCTGATCTCTCTAGGACATTCAGAAGCCAAGTTAAAAGCCCACAAATGTGTAACTGGACTACTACTTTAAATTGACACCAGATCCGGTGACCTTTGGGACATGGTTTGACCCCCTTAGGAAAGTGCTATCATCATGAAACGTTCAGATCACTTACAACTCAATAGATTCTACCTTCTTGTAACGTTTCAGCCTGATTGGACCTTGTTTTCACACTAATGAACCCAGAATGATGTGAAATTGTGCTTCGTGCAACATAATTCTGGGTGCCATGTACAAACCATAAGTGCTAATGACTCCATTCCTTTTTGTGGTTGTAGGGGCTGTTGATTGGAGTACACTAAAACAAACCTGACCTCTCTAGGACATTCAGA